TCGAGGTCGGGGGAGCTAAAATTACAAGTTTCAGGCAACTTACAGTCTGCTCATAAGAGACAATGCGCTCACACACATGCAAAACCCTTTGGCTCTGTGTTTTCTTGCATAATATTCTAAGAAACACTGGTTTTATGTATATTAAGTACCCAGTCAGCCAACCTATCCTTCTAAGATTGGCTTGGGAGCACAGAAGCTCTTCCCCATACCTCTGTCTCGGGGGAGCAGATGCCCACACGGGAAGGCAAAGGAATCAAAAGGAAATTAATGGGTAACAGCAGTGACAAGAGACAGTAAACAGTTCCATAAGTGGAGCCTACATCTACTAACCTCAAGCTTCCTCCTTAGCAGCAGGAGAGCTAGCACAGCTCCGCAGCTCACGAGCAGAAAAGCAGCAGTGCTAGAAGCTGAACTGAGAGCCGTCACCGAGCCAAAGAGAAACCTGAGGAGCAGCCCACGCTTAAAACAAAGAACTACTAAGAGAGAGAGAGAGGTCACTACAGAGCATCCTTCCTTTCAGTATGAAACGCGGCACAATTACTTGCACGTCAGGGGGCTCTGAACTGCTGGGGGGAAAAAAAGTTCTTTCAGGCCATGAACTTACGGGCCGCGAAGAGAAGCAAATATTGTGACTTCCCAGGGAAACCTTCCTCTGCTGGGAAGGCACAGGCCAAGCAGCAGCTAACGGCGGCTACTCTGCTGCAGGGCAAGGTAATGCCTCATTTAGATGAAAAACCCCGTCGTGACTGACTCAAAAGTTAGAGAGACTCAGAACTTCCATTAATTAATAAAAGAATTAGTAACTGTTAGGAGCCTATTCTGCACTACTGCTAATTTTATCAGCAATGCTTAATGCTCTCCCTGTGGACGCAAATTCTAACTTCCAATGAAGCGCGGGTATCCTGACAGCTCGACTCTCTGTAAAATCAAAATAAGGTTAGACCTAATGATGACCCTAAACCAAAAAACCATTCCCGTGGGTTGGGTTGGGTTACAGACCTGAAATGGACTGCTCCTCCACAGATGGATGCTGCTGGGCAAAGACAGGGATAAAATATTTCTCAGAGGTCTCAGCAAGCACATTTGCAATCCCCACCTCCATCCTCAGCCAAACTTGCTCATCTAACAAAATCCTAAAACCCGACTGAGTGTGTGTAATGCAGCCCTGTCCTGCCCAACTTCAAATAATTTGGGATCAATCCTTTGGTTTTCACTCAGGCAGATTTCCATCAGACCTGCTGGGAACTCTGGTTGAGACCCAACTGCAAACCCAGCGCAGGTCCCCGGCAGAGCTGCACTCCAGGTAAGGGCGCTGCTCTGGTGCAGAGACATCGGGGGATGTAATTAACACTACGCACTTCAAGACAGACACAGTGAATGGGGTTTGCATGGCAAGATTTTGGTAGAGGGGTCCTACAGAGGTGGCTTCTATAAGAAGCTGCTAGAAGTTTCCCCCGTGTCTGATTAAGTCAATGCCAGACGGCTCCAAGACAGAAGTGCTGCTGGCAAAGGCTGAGCCCACCAGCGACGGTGGTTAACACCTCTGGGATATCTAAGAAGGGGGAAAAGAAATCTGGGAAACTGCAGCTGGAGAGAGGAGTGAGAACACGTGAGAGAAACAACTCTGCAGACACCAAGGAGAGTGAAAAAGAAGGGGGAGGAGGTACTCCAGGCACCAGAGTAGGAACTCCCCTGCAGCTGGTGGTGAAGACCATTGTGAGGCAGGCTGTGCCCCTGCAGCCCATGGAGGTCCACACGGCCATCTGCAGCCCATAGAGGACCCCACACTGGAGTAGGCGGATGCACCTGGGGAAGGCTGTGACCCCATGGGAAAGCCCACACTGGAGCAGGCTCCTGGCAGGACCTGTGGGCCCATGGAGAGAGGAGCCCACACTGGAGCAGATCTGCTGGCAGGACTTGTGACCCCACAGGGGGCCCACGCTGGAGCAGTCTGTTCCTGAAGGACAGTACCCCATGGAAGCGACCCATCCTGGAGCAGTTTGTGAAGATCTGTAGCCTGTTGGAAGGACTCGCTTTGGAGAAGTTCATGGAGAACCGTCTCCTGTGGGGTGAACACCATGCTGGAGCAGGGGAAGAGTGTGAGGAGTCCTCCCTCTGAGGAGGAAGAAACAACATAACTAGTGTGGATGAACTGACCACAACCCCCATTCCCCATCCCCCTGCACTGCTTGGGGAAGGAGGGAAAGATATCAGGAGTAAAGTTAAGCCCGGGAAGTGGGCAGGAGTGGGGAAAAGGTGTTTTTCTCATTATCTTACTCCAATAAAAAAATAAACTAATTTCCCCACGTCGAGTCTGTTTTGCCCATGACAGTATTTGCTGAGTGATCTCCCTGTGCTTATCCCAATTCATGAGCCTTTCGCTGTATTTTCTCCCTGCTGTCCAGCTGAGGAGAGGAGTGACAGACCAGCTTTGGTGGGCACTGGGCACGCAGCCACGGTCAGCCCACAACACATAGAAATGTCTACCAAACGATCAGAGTTCCAGAGAGCAGTGAGCAATTCACACTGACTCAGAAAAACCATCAACGGGGTTTAAAACAAGATGTTTACTCTTCTCCCCTGACTGTACGGAGGAGAGTCTGCATCTGGCAGCACTGACAAAACATTTTGAATTGTTTGATGCTTTCTGTAACAGAGGCAGAATAGGTTAAAGTCTCAACACTGCCTGAAGTGCAGTATTAAAATCTTAAAATAGTCAGGACAGTGAAAAGATTAGAAAACTCTGTCACTCGGGACAGTGCCGGAGCTGTGCAATTTTCTTCTTAATATAGTTACAGTAAATTGCAGAAGCAGAGCTCTGAAGAGCCATCCAAGCTTGCAGTTCTGCCATGACAATGCAACTCCAATCAGACTTTTGGCAAGCGATACTTGGTTTCAGAAGACAATAGGTAGCAGCAGCTACTGGATACTGAAACTATTCCAGGCACTAAAACATAGTAAAAAGAAGTTGGATAGTTAATGCTATTCATCTGAAAAATGGTGAGAGGACGATGCCAGAGGATCCGAGTGTGCTGGTTAGATTGATTTAGTTACCCCAGTGTAAGTAAGCTCCATTTCTACGAAGAGCCTGCTTCAAGACAGAAAAGATCATTTAGTAGCTGATATAGGCAATGAGCTGAGTCAATTTTCTGTTACTATAATAAATACAACCATTGCTCTGAAAACATAAAACCAGGGAACAGCTTGTTTTATTTTACTGCACAGATACACTCCTGAGTTAAAGGTAGTAGCGGCACATTCTCTCTGCAAAAGGAGAGCAGACAGAACGAGGTGGCAGAGATGAGCCTCTCGCAGGAGTGAAGGGCCTTCGACTCAGACTCCCACGGATGCGGAACCCTGCACACCAGCCTCCTTCAGCACGTGCACGCACCCCCTGCGATTAAAATGCTACAATAGGAAATCATTCACCCCCCGGAAAAAAAATAATTCATGTCACAGATGGTGAATGTGCACTTTTCCATTCACAGCAGTGACTGGTTTGGTTACAACCATGGCATACCACCATCCAGAGACAGGATTACTTAAAATAAACCTATGTAAACACATACCCTTATATAACTTATATATAAAAGATATATCTATATATATAAGTTTTATTTGTGTATACATAGATATAAATAAGCACACACACACAAACACACATCCCCCAACGCAAAGCACAGAATGCACACATGGAAATTCTGTAAATGATGCTGAAGTGAAATATAAGAATATAATTAAGAAATTATTAGCAGGTTTAAAACTGAGTTAAAAAAAACTATTTAAAGTATTTTTAATATTTATGTTCAAGTAAGGGCCAGAATGACCACAGATTAGTACCGATAAAAAGAGCTGGCATTGTATTTCCCATGGTATGCCAAGGCTCATGAGTTATTTCTCATTGTCATTCGCCATCAGGGTGCCTCATCAACTAAAAAGAATATTTTTGTTATTTTTTTTTAGGAAACGGTGATTTTAAAGACTTGGGTTATCAAACAGTATTGTTTAGGCACCCTCAATCATAAACTAATGCTAAAAAACACACACACCTTAGAGCATCAGAAGAGAACTAGTGGGACTCAGACATCCACACCCACAGCACTCAGTGGCACAGACAGGTCTTCACAGTAAAAAAAGACGGTTATTGGAGACAAGGGATGAAAAGGTGACACGGTGGCCTTTAAAAGAGCAACACTGACCAACAGTGACTCTCCAGTAAACTTCTGAGACACCACAGAGGCTCCAAGTTCAGGAGATACACAACGATGCGGGTATTTCAGAGGTGACTGTGAGTGCAAGCTGGGTTTCAGTGGCAGCTAAAACTATTGTTTACATGTGCTCCAGGGTGATAACAAACACCTCCAACAACACTGCACGGATTGTTTGGGATATTTAGTATGGCTAAAAGCCCTGGTACCAGTGTCTTATATCAGAAATGACTTTATTAGAATGTAAATGTAGTGTGCAAGCACCAAATCATTTTAGCTTAATTGTTTCATGGAAATTCATTATATAAACGTCTAGCAATTTAAAAGAGAGATCTTCTAAAAAAAATAATTCTCCTTTTACTTTTTTTTTAAAAAAATTTTGTTAGGATTATTCACTACTTCTATTCTGATAGAAGACTCTGAAGATTACTGGTACCGTGGTGTGTATAGCCGTGGGTCGGCACACGCACGCACACACAACTGCACACCTCACTGCTACATCAACACCCTTTTAAATAGAGAGTCCCAGCTCTGGCACTGGGACCTGTACATCAGATATATTCTCTTTGTGCATTTCAGCATCATTATCACTGCTCAAGTTCCACATCTAACGCAAATCAAGGTGGACTTGGACATACGAGCAGCTTGTCCCTCATCCTCTTAAATAAAGTCACGATTTAAGTCTTGTAATTTCTTGGGATTTTCCACCGTTCAGCTGTGCAAATCCAGGCAGATGTGCAGACTGCAAAGCTGACTTCCAGCCTCTTCCAAGCCCTCACCAGTCCGGCGTTATCACACAGAGACGACGACATCGAGATAGAGTCTGTCGTAGGACTCGCGGAAGCAGAGGATGAGGAGCAGGCTGAGCAGACACGATCCTGGCAGGCACCAGTTGAACCAGGAAAACTCTGTTAAAGCAGAGAACAGACCCAACGTTAGAGTTATCATACGTGTTCTGTGTTTAGAGCGACCATAACTTGGATTGAGGGCAGGTCTGAGGGAAGCTCCGGTGTTCTGAACAAAATTCTGACAGCTCTCAATCAATACATGGTTAACACGGCCTCCAAGGATGCCGTACCTGTTTATAAAGTTTTATATATACATATGTATATATATACACCTAACCAATGCCTCTAGCTAATGTTAATCCTTCTTACTCAACCTGTTGATGGAGAAAATGGGGAAAAAAAAATAAAAATCTATCATTGCTAATGGAGAATAAAGCACTTTTGAAGACTCTACTCAGTGGTTCTTTGATTCCTGTGGATTGAAAACTAAAACAAATTAAAAGTGTAAGAAGAAGCAGGATTTGATTTTGAATCAAACCTGCTACATGGTATACGGAGGGAAAACCAATTCCTCAGAAGAAACTCGTGAGCAGTACAATCAATTCAATTTAATACTAGTTAAACAAACAGCTCCTCAGAAGCCTCTTTTTACCTGTAGACATAATGTACCTCTCTAAAAGCCTGTGTTCCACATTCAGAAAATCCTATTGTCTGGTATATAACTCCTAATTAGTAGTTTTCTTCAGTTTGGTTTTTTCCCCAAAACAAGTGCACCACAATTCCCTTTATAAAAAATCTGTTCATTTACTGAAGAAACATTGCTTTACTGAAGATGGTTTATTTCATTTTTTAAAAGTTGCCTTTATTATTAATTTAATTTTACAATATCTAAACTCTCCCTCAAGGTCTGAGCACTGCTACTCCGTTAAATCTGTAATTCATACTGCTAAAAGAAAAAGCACAATTTATATTACACAGAAGTCAGAAAGCCTAAAAAAAAAAATCTGCCTTCCAAAACCAGTAACTTTCCAACAACACCCACTCTCACCCACCAAAAACCCTTACAGATTTGTTCAGGCAGTAATCTTATTAAAACCTTAATAAAATTTTCCTAGGCTTTGAGAAGATCATGTTATGTGATGCCAGAAGTCAATAGGCAAATGCTTTGCTATTATCTTCTGTATAATACTCTTGCTTAATTGGATTAAACAGACTGTTACCAAAATATCCTAAAAGACCAAATTTAACCTGTGAATCCTCCACGTCTTTTGTGATCCAGAATTTGCGACAGCGTGAAGCTAAGGGTCGGTTTGCTTTTGTTTTTCCCCTGAAAGCCCCTGCAGAAGAGGTGAAGGAAACCACGTCCCGAGGCAGAGGTGCTGGGTCTCGGGGCATGGCCCTAGCAGGGAGGCTGAGCTTTAGAAAGGTTTCCATCTCCACCATGCTGGCTGGACCAAAACCTTCATTGTCCTGGAAAGTTTCCAGGGTTTAGATCTGTCATAGCCTTTGCAGCAACACAGTATGACGAGAAAGAAGACAGAAATGTGAATTGAAACAGAATTAAAACTACTGAAAGGTGATTTGGTCTAAAAAGCAAGACAGAGGGAACAAGATGAATTTGACTGAGTTCTGGTTTATCTGCAAGCTGCTTAAATGCCATTAGAGGATGTACTTGAATCAAAAGAAAGACAAATTTTTAAGATCGTTATCTACCTTCTAAAGGATTTTTTAATCAAAAGGAGCCAACAGCACCCACTCACATTGATCCCCCCAGTGATCACACGTGCTCTGGTGCTTTCGATCACCTGTGAAGCTGCAGCATGGAGAATGGATCGGACCAAGCACAAATTACTTGTTTGGGTTTTTTTTCCTTTGAAGAAATAGGGAAAATATTCTAAGTGTATGCAGGTTTATCCTTATCTGCATAAACTGGTATCTGCTAGAGAAAGAAATACTAGAGACAAAAAATGGCCCCAAATACCCTATTTATGAGGGAACATGTTCACTTTATCATAACTCTTCAGTCAGGAGAGAGACACTGTATCCCCATCCTCAATTATTAAGTAATTTCTAACACTGGATTGTTAGTCTGAAAAATGGTGAAAAAATTATCAGAATATTCTGTGTAATCTCTGAAGCTCAGGGTAAAACACTGGAAATGACAGTATATTGGAGTTGAGCTCACACCAATTTATATTAGTCATAAAAGCATTCTTTAAAATGTAAAGACTAAATATCACACCACCTGAGCCTAGTAGAGGTGGAATTCAGATTTTACAATGATGTATTTCAATGTCAATAGCAAAAAAAAAAAAAAATCTTGTGTCTGAGTTTGCGCTCACAGACCACACTTTGGTTGTTAACCTGCTTGTGAGCCCCTGGCAGAAACACACACAAACTGAAAATTTGCCCCAGGCTGTAACCTTCACAATTTCAAGCACAATTCACTCTGAAATTTGTCAGTCTCCTCTTGGTTATAAAACACATCACCTTAAGAAGTACATGCACTCACAATAATATGTAAAAGCTCTCAAATTTCTAATGCTTCCAAAGCAAAACAGTGTTTTACAAATCTTGCATTGTGAAGTAAACAACAAAACAAAAACAAAACATGAACCAAAACCCTTCATCTTTGAAACCCACCAATAAAGACCACTCCCATTTGAAAGCAAGATGGCTTTCTATTTTACAGCTTAGTGTAAAAACACGTTATAGTGTACTCAATGGCAAGTTGAAAGTTACATTTATGAATTTTGAAGAAGCAAATAATACTTGAGGGATGAGAAACTTGGAACACATTGATTAAAATATTGAGCAAAACACTGTTCTGCCTCATTAGCCCACTAGATTATCTAAAGGAATGAGTATTTCTTCTCTGAGCAGTGGTCAGGAGATGTTCTGGCCCTTGCAATGCTTATGTGCAACCCCCTGAACGGCGCTCACCATAAATGGAGATTTTTGCTCTGCCCCTCCTGGGCAATAGTTACACCCTGAAGCATGAGACTGGATTAGCTTTATTGTGGTTCTGAAAACCCATAGATACAAATGCTATTAATGGCCACATTACCTTTATAGAAACGCGATGGAAGTGTGTATCTTGATGATTTCTGGCTACAGCAAATTCTAAGTGGAGAATGACTCCATACATCTTGCACTAGAGCACTTCAGTTTTACTAGCATGCATACAGAAAAGAACAATTAAAGTTCTTCTCTCTTGCTGCTTCACAGGGGGATTCAAACACTCGATTATTAACAGAAATTGTATGTGCGACTCCTCCCTTCACTGACAAGGGTATGACTTCGTGGAAAACTATATTTTCAAAGTAGCTTATATTTCTTACCTGTATGGTAAAATGTGAGGAAAAACAAAAGCACTCCCATGAACACATTACTCAAAAAGGTGACAACTCCGCAGGTAATTCCTTCTGGAACAGGGTACACTGTCTCCACGAAAAGCTCAAAGAATATTGGTACACTGCTGTTGAGGAATATACCCAACAAAATGCAGGATGTGTACAGTGTAGCTAAAAAAGAAACAAAAACAGTTATTAATTTCATGCTGGCATTTTCTTCATCATGTACAGAGCTGCCAAGAATACTAATACTTGAGTAACTGAAAAATGCATCAACTTATTTTTATCCTGTGTGTATCATAAAGCATATCACATCCCACTAGTTTTAGGCAGAATGCATGCATTAATTTGGGAAAAAAAAACCAGAAATACCGATTTATCTTCTTTTTTTTCAGCAGAAGTCATGAAGACACAATCAGTGATTTGGAATTCACTTGTAAGTAAAACAAACAGAACAAAATTATGCATGCAAAGCATCACCTACAGTTTGATATACCTCTGAAATGAACAGAAACTGTTGTCCTAGACACAATTAGGACAGAGAGCAATTAATGCACCAAAGGGGAAATGGACATGGATTAACCTTTTGACTTAGCTCTAAAGGTCAAAACTAATTTTGCTTCCATTTTACAAATGAATACTATCTACCAGACATTGAGACATTAGTATTCAGCATGGCCTGAGCTGCAACATGTTGAATCCCTTTTGGCTTCAAAAGGAAACGAAGGGCACCCAGCTCCCGGCAGGAACTGGATGTATTTGATAATGCAAATTATTCAGCGCTGTACAACAAATTATTTTTTCTTGAACCAATCAATAGAAGAATAAAGACGTTTCTCCAGTAGCCTCAGATATTTTGTTCTACAGTTTCTGACACTGCCACATACTTTACAGTGCTTAGCATCTTAGTACAGGTGCTTAATATAGCTATATTATCCATTAATAAATCTATTATATCTGTTTCTGAAGAAAGAAAACTTCAAAAGAATTTAGTACCTATTTAGAAATGTAAATAGGTCTTTGCTGAGTGCTGTCTTGGGAAAGGGAAGATTTCCTGACCTGCAGCCTCAACAACCTGAGGTTACTGATCAAGCAAAAAGAATAAAGAAATGATCAGAAGGCTTGAAATTAAAAAAAAATCTGGAATAATTTCTGAAGTTTACATCAAAACGACAAGAACATGTAAAGAAAACTTTTTCAGCTACAAAAGTGTTACCAAGTCATAGGGAAATTATTTATAGCATCATTTCATTGCAGTATGGTATAAAATCCATAGATAATTTTTTTCATATAGACATATATGTTTATATAAAATAGAAACTGCATTTTCAGTTTAATTTACGTTCTTCTGTCTTGGAAAGGGTAGAACTGAAATAGCTCTGCTTCATCTTCTGTTAAGCATTGCTCAAGTTTTCAACTGAGAAACTGTGAGGAAGCACGAAACTTCCAGCTCAAAAAGAAAAAAAAAAACCAACCTAAAAATCTCCACTGTTTCTGAAAATCTGAAGAATCACGAAAAAGAGATAAAGGCATTAAGAAGCAGAAAGGACTGTCTATCAGATCCTCCATTTGTTGTGGTTTGATTCCAAGGCACAAAGACACTTCTTGCTCTACAGAGGATTTGTCTGGACAGGAAAGAGAGGACAGAAGTCCCAGCCAGAAAGATGACATAGATGGCACAACTTCAGGAGACACAGCGAGTCCTCACTTTTTTTTATAATATACCAGAATATTGTGAGTTGTTAAGAAAAAAAAGAGAAAAAAAATAACCCAACCAAATAACCCATGGGAACTTTTACAACTCTCAAATTCTCTTATAAACTGCAGAATGAAAGTCAAAGAAATCGATGCAAGGTGTGTTGAAGAGTCACAGAGAAAGGGAAAGAAGCAAAACAGTATTGAGATGCTGTTCCTAATGGGCTCTTCCAGCTAACATTGAAGAACTGATTCCCGAGTTACAAGATCCAAAAATTTTTGCTCCCAGTCCTCACCGGTATTTAAAATTTCATGAACCTCTCTTTGAACTCCTGTTTACCTCAAACAGCACAGCAAATTGCTCTACCTGTCTCTAACTGCTACCAGGTGTAGCCAACAAAGTCAAACATATTCAGCTGTTTGAAACGAACGTGTAAAGAAACATGAAGAATCTCTCAAGCCAAATGAACATCTGCCCCTCACTACACTCAACTGAAGCTATCTATAGATAACTACTTGTACCCTTTGTCTGTTCTAGAGAATATTTTTCAGCACACTCCCCAAAGAAAAGAAGGTGGTAACCAGCTGTAATTCTGTATCAGAAACTCAATGTTAATAGTCGTCGAGTTGTTGAAAGCCACGACGTCACCATGAGAAGTGGAGCTATGCGGAGAGCGTGCCAGAGGCAAAACCTCGGCAGGAAGACTGAAACCTCTTCCCTAAAGGGCAGCAGCCAGGAAAGGGGAATCGTGTGACTCCAAATAGAAACAACCTCTAGACGTACCATCTGCAGAAGCTTAGATCCACTTGAGACGAAGGCAAAAAAAAAAAAAAGATGGATCTAAGGTGAGCAGCCATTTACAAGATCAAGACTTCAAATTTTAGTCAATACAGTAGGTGTCAAAGTTTCCATAAAACAAGAGCCTTCCAAATAAATTTGATAGTTTAAAAGACGCTAGTTGAATTACACCATTGCTCATCAATGGAGCCTTGAGTAGCCTGATCTAGCTGAGAGGCGTCCCTGCCCATGAAAGGGAGGTTGGACTAGATGATCTCTAAGGTCCCTTCCAGCCTAGGCCAGTCTATGATTCTATGTACTAAGAAGACTGGACTAAAAGTGAACAAGCACAGTAACTCTGCACTTTAGAAACTACACCGTTACACTTCCTTGTCACCACAGCTTGCTGAAGCAAGCCACGGAGATACACCCCCAGCCCACAGCTCACTCTCCCGTCCGGCCAGGAGCAAAGCAGTTCCAGCGTTACCTTTTGGTTCTCCCCAAAGCATTACCTGCCTTGTGCATGCACAGCAAGAACTGCCAGCTGAATAGCAATGCCAACGCCTCAGCTGAGATGACAGGTCACACTTGGAAAACAAGGCCGAGGTATGTGCACACGTGTATTTGGAAACTAATAAGCAGAAATGTCAGGCAGAAGGACTGGCAGAATATAGCACTCAGTAGATGACAACGTAAGTTATAAGACCTAACGGAAATGACAACTTTTATCTGGTAAACCACAAAAAGAAGCCCTAAAAGGGATGCACACTTCTGAAAGCCCCCCTTACTGGCTACACAGGGTAGCAATGAGAAAATACTTTTTATTTCTTCCTTCTGTAAATCATCCAGGGTCTTTCTGACCGCTGTACAAGTTTATTAACTTGGCAACTAAGACACAAACCCAAATGGTCAACTACACAGAAGGTCTAGTTTCAGAAAAAAAAGTTACAGGAAGAAGTAAAATACGAGTTCTAAAGTGTTTTTTGCCTTTTATTTCACACACTACACAGCACACCTCATATTCCAGCTCATGGGCAACAAGGCACTGTAGTAGAGAGAACAGCACCTCTTTAATGGAGAACATTTACTTTCCATTACAGCAACCTTGAGTTGAACATAATTACCATGATTTTATACTGCAGAAGAACAGCTGCTAAAGTTACAACAAATGATTTTTCGATTAAGACAATCTCGATGACAGTCATTGGAAATGACTATAAGGATATGCTGACACACAAAAAAAAAAGAAAAAGGAAACGAGAACACTTACTGAGAAGCTAATATTGAATCCTAAAGGCTAACAAGGACAAACAACTAGATTGGATAGGCATACACTGGAGAAGCGTGCCATGCTGTTAGTATTAAAAAAAAATCATTTTCTTAGGAAAAGGAATTAACTGTCTATGAAGCCATGTGCAAAGTTGTGCACCCAAGACAGTGGCAGCTGTGGACATCAATAAAGAATGAAACTGGACTGGTTTTTTTTTAAACTGTCTTGATTAATGCCATGTTTTAAAGATGTTTGTGTGAATTAAGCAGCTATTTCTCGGGTTGGCCACTGCAAAAAGATCAGGAAAGGCAAAACATCCATCTGAAGCACAGCTGCTTCAGAGAATTGGCCTGGAGCTGCCACAGCAGGCGGCTGGAGCTAAGCTTTGTCATGACATCTTCTGCAACATATTTAGCGATTTACTCTTAAACTATGCCACCACTAAACGTATAACTGCACAGTCCGACCCAAACCCAAATGAATAGAAGGACTTCCACTGATGTAAACAGTCCTTATCAAACCACTTGCATTCACATCTCAGCTGATTTTTAACAAAGAATATGAAATACTACCATTTTTTCCTTTAAAAAAATATTTTTTTCCAGATAAATTTACAAAGGAAATGCAAACACTCTAGAGCAGTATCAAGTGCAGGCAGGTGGTACAGTATCTTCTTCCAAAGTCCTCTGCCAGAAACTCTTGAACTCTGTACATGTTGTAACAGTTCTCAGAATAAGGGAGCCAAGACTCACACAAATTTCGTATGGATGAACAGTAACGTAAGTACAACTGAGTGTGTTCCCTTGGATGCAGCATACAACTTAAAGCAAAACTTACAGAGATCTAGGGCACTTTGTTGTTGCCCGTTAAAACAGTATCCCAAATGCCAAAACGAAAGGATAATGGCTGATGCAGATGGATGTTTTCCTTGACTTCAGTACTTTAGTGTCCTCACAAATGATCTGAGCAGTTCAAGGTTAGTTCCTACCAAACTCTCTGAAGACTGTTAAAGTGGAATGAAACTTCCTTATAATTTAATTCTTGCTACTGGCCATGGGAAGACTAGTCATGGAAGAAGTCCCCCTTAATTTTTCCATGAGATATTTGACTCCCTCAAGGTAAGACAGTAATTTTTACTGTAATTCATTTATAGGAACAAAAAAATACAATAGAAGAAGGATGTCCCTGTAGTGCACGTTTATAACATCAATATGTTTCATATCCAGATTTTCATTCCAGCATGAGCTGATCAAATTCTTACCTCGTGATATAGTTATGAAAGTAACCAAAAATCTGATCAAATTGGATTTGTTCAATATACTTCCCAAGAGAAATGCAAGTAGAACTCGCTTCGAAAGCAGAGCATTCACTTTAGAGAATCAAAAAGTGAAGAAATTACTGAGTGAACCTCAAAAAACAAACAAAAAAAAGGGTGGGGTAGAAACCATACGATATTTGAGGCTTGCTATCAATTTATATGTAAAGTGGCCAGATTTGCAGATATTCATCCCTGAAATGCTCTTCCCAAATTTCAAGCGCTGTACACTAATTAACACTGGGGTTTTAACTGCTTTTAAATAAACCCCTTAAATTAGCTCTTCTTTAAGCATTCTTCTATCTGTGGATTCACAGAAGCCTTCAGGAAGACAAAGGTCTTTATTGCCCTCTTATGAGTGGGAAAAGCACAACAGGAGTGGGGGTAACGATTTGCCCATGGCCATAAGCAGGTTAATGCTGAAGCTAGAAAAAGGCCACTGTTCTATCCTCTGGGTCCCCCTGCTTTACACTTACCAAGCACATCTTGTTTATAGTAAAGAAATTAAAGTCAAAGCATAAAACAATCAGTATTAAATGACTAACAACTTGCTTTTTCAACACTGTGCTTTGTAAATGAGGACGGGGAGACAGATGCGTTTATAATGTTCAATCTGTTGAACCTGAAAATAAAGTGAAGGCTGCTTAACCTAAATATAGTCATCAGCTCACGGACTTGCCATCGTATTCAGAGTATCTGCCATGCAGCACTTTTGTAAAGCAAAATTCTGCTGAATGTGCTCATAAATATTAGAATATTCTTGATACGCTACACTGCAAACATTCAATCTGAGCTGCGAACAACTAGTGTTGCATATCAATTCTTGGAAAATGCTAGTATTTGTATCCAGAGATACTACCAGCAATACAAAGTGGCAAGATACTGAAACTGGCATTACTATGCCTTACACAATTATTTTGGGTCAGAGTATCCCATTGTACATAAATTCACATAATGAAGTTCAGTACAAAGCAAACGAACAATGGACTTGGCAAAGAGAAATAGATCAGCAGCTGCATTGGGAATTCAATGGAGAAAACTATTTTAATGCTCAACATGTACATAAAATTGTCTTTGAAACTTGCTGAAAAATGCAAATAACATACATGAAAATTAAAATTTCTTACAAGAAAATTCAAGCTTGTTTAAAGTGCAAACTGATTCCAGAATCAAGGGCTTTTAAGAGCTGTGATTAGCTGATGAGAGGTGTTTTAGACAGACGATACAGTAGCTATGAATGGCTCCGTATCATTACTGCCTTCCTTGCTTTTTTTCCCCCCCCACACCAAGAGTTATAGTTCATACACATGACTCCAAATACACTTCGTATAAAACCTTCTGGAGGTATATTAAGAAGTCAGCAAGTGACAGAAAACTTGTCTTGCTCTGTGGCAGGAGAAAAAACAGAGCATATTATGATAATGCAGAGCAGTGCAGGCATTACACAATACAAACAAAGCTAAACAGCATCATTTGAAGAAAACACAAAGCAGTCATTAATTTTTAATATCCACATTAAAGGTCTCCATTCTAAGTAATTACATTCTGTAGGAAATATCTGTAGATGATGTCGTGCCTATTTACAAGGAATTAGGAGAATATTATACAAACAAGTGGTGGGAAAGACATTTTGTTGTGACCATTTTTTCAAGCACGATTCCTCCCCCAATACTTAAACCAGACATTACTAGGCCTGCTACAAAGAACACTGATTAGAACAGGGGAGTTGTTTGTTTGTAATTTAAAGACAAGGCTTTAGAGATTTTCTTCCCTTTCCTTTAGGGTGAATGATTGACCAAACTCTCTCATCTTTTTAGCATTTTAAAAGCCTACTTGAACGGGAACATGCCCATCAGAGAGACAGCAAGAGGTGGGCAGGGCTTTCAGAAGAGTGGAGCAAGCACTAGACCTACCACACAGTATCCAAACACTAAACCAAAAAGACTATTTTTTGACCCGGGAAACCACTGGCAGGGTCTACCTACGGATGCAAACTTTACTCATGGATCAAGCAGCTGCTGGGTAAGATGAAGCAGATGATGTTCTTTAACCAGCCTTCGTCTCTCTGCCTTAACCCCCAGGTCAGTGCAAAGGATCCCATGAGGTATCTTCCACACCAAAATAACTGCCCTGATCCAGGAAAACCTCCCTTTTAACTGTACCAGCATCCATCAGGTCATGTGGACATTTTAGCAGTTTCCAGGTCTTTTGGCAACGCTTGTGGTTTTGCAGGGCAATGACTCAGCTGCTCAAAAGAATCACATGGGAGGAAGGGCAAGAGAGGAGGGGGAAGCCCCTCCTCAAATGGGAGCTAGTTGGTTGGAAGGGAAAATCTCCTTGCCAGATCAAATGTACAACCCCATAACTTTCTGTAGCAGTCAGCTTTGAAGCCTGCTCGCTCTGCCTCAGCGTTTCAGTAAATCTGGAAGTGTGGATTGAGATCCACCACTGGCTTTGCAGCAGCACCAAGCCTAACCCTTGTGCTCTTTGCCACAGGACAGGAAGAAGTTGAGGAGCCTATTAAACCTTCCGGCAACATCGAACCCCGTCGCTCTCAATAACACTGCAATCCCTGCTTTGCACTGATGCCTGCAAAGTTGCTCTGGGATACAAAGCATGACACAAACCTCCAAAAAAAAAAAAAAAGAGAGAGAAAAAGATGACAAAAAAAGGAAAAGGAAAAAAATTACAGCTACTTTTGGTTTGCACCTCTTCCAGCTCTACTAAAACACACGTATTACCTGGAAGTCTCTTCAATACTGGTCCACAGCGACTTCCACCTTAACCAGCTACCTCAGATCACTTCCCAAAGCTGCCAAAGGCTTGCATTTGACCTCCTACGTTTATACTGTGATCTACTCTGCATCTCAAACTTTTAATTAAAAGAAGACAAGAAAAAAAGTTTATCCAAATCAATTCAAATGTACCGTTTCTCCCAATTATTGTGGAATGCAGAGGACATCATCATATTGGATCATTATATTGAAGAATAATCTAGCATGAAGTCCTATAAATTAGCTTAAATAGCTTGTGTCTTTTCATCCGTAAGAGCATATTTCATAAAGATATAACGCTGCTTTTCTGTGTACAATTGAACAGGCACATTACATCTATTTTATAGGAACTTTAATGAGAAAAGGCTGATAGGAACTCCTCCGCCTGTCTAAGAAGTCTGAACATTATACCAGAGAAGAAAAAAGAGATCTTATTTGGTGACTACACATTAGGCCCTGATGCTTTAGATTGCCTTTTTCTAAGAAATGCACCATATTGCCTGCATTTCTGTTCAAAACAAGCTTGTTTTTTATAGAAAAGGGTTCAACATTTACAGTGACATATATAAGAGGAGCACAGACAGAACACTCTAAAATAAAATTTACAAGTCAATCTAAGGAATCATCTATTTAAAAAGAAACATTAGCTGCATGAAAAGAACAACCCAATCCCCAGACTTTTATCAAGGGATGCCAGTTTAGGATACTTTGTACCAAACCCCAAATACCTTACATGCTTTTATGCCCTGACAGCGGATCACTTTTCCGGAATAATCCACCACAACACACTTACACGCTATAAACAAGTAAGCATTCTTCTAGGACCTATATTGCATGCTGAATTCTTTACAGAAGATAAAATAAAATTAGAGACAGAGCTCCATCAGTTTTGTTTCGAATCCCTGGTGACTACATACGTAACGGCTTTCCCCTCTTGAAACTTCTCTGCTTTATTCTTATGCATAGACTTGAAGGGACATTTATGTGTTTGGCTTGCTGCATCAATTCAGAGGACAGTTACTGTACAAATTCACATTCCTGCAGGCTTGCAGTGATGAGGCAGAGTAGCATAAGAAATAAGCTTTTGTTGCAATTATTTTAGATTTGATGGAAAAGAAAAACGTAGCCTTTTGGTACGAAAACAGCCACCACGAAATTTGATTTATTTAGCAATCAAATTGTGTTTTCTTTAAGCAGAATTTTGTTAGAAATATTTGAAATTTCAAGATAAATCACAAATGTGACCTATCCATCCAGATGGTGTTTCTCCTGAATTGATCACGTATTTCAATTTGCTGTACCAACTTTAGTTTATAGTTGTGACATATTCAACGCACCAAGGACACTCATTGAAACTCAAAGTTAGTCTGAGTAAAACAGTACTTTATATAATACTCTCCACATCAAAGTCTGTATTAAAAATGGGAAAAAAACAATTTTCGTTTCTCCTGCAATGCATAGACTTGCCTATAACAAAGATGGCACATTATTTAAAATGGATTTGCAGAATTCTTTAATAGATAATTTTCAAAAATCTTAATGGCTTGGTTTTTCTGTACCTCATTACTCTGTTGAAGGTCTTCGAATCACAGGTGGATCAGTCCTTTGGTGCAGACAGTAAGGTGAAGGACAGATTTTGAAGAACTAAGCAGTGCTAATTTTCAACTAAGGGTACAGCTCGCTGGCAGCCTGTGTGGACCTCTGAGCTTTTCCCCCACTCGTGCCAACAGCTTTTGTCCCTGTCTTTTTGAGGCACAGGCTGAGTTAATTTTGGGCTGGAAGAGTTCCCTGAACCTGCATGCAGGTGCAAAAAAAGAGGACAGCACAGTGCAGGGATAGATTTAGATGTCTGAAAGTACTGTGGGTCACCTTGAACTGCACCATGTGTTCCCAATAATTAATGCAAGTTTCAAAACCCTAAATTCCCAGACATGTCACTGTTTCTCACACGCAAGCCCACTCCCATTCATCTGCATGTATTAGTTTATTTCTGACCCGTTTTTCAAAAGCATTCAAATATGAAAAACACTCAGTCTCAACATAAATGCATATTTTGCATTCTTATTATTGGGTTTTGTTAGTTTTTAATATTTTCATTAATTTATTCAAAGCTGGTACAGATATTTCAGATTCAACAGGTTTTCTAAATCTTTTTTCCTCTGTCTTGGTGAAACTACTGTATTACTGAAGATACCAAACCAGGCTATAAAATAATTCATTTAAGACTGCAAATATTTGCCTGTAATACCAATTATACAGGAATTAAAGTTACCAGTAACAGGAACTAAAATCATTGTTGATACCTGTGGTTAAAGGCAGATGAGTGACACTAGTTAGACAGGTGAGAGTGAACCAGGTTGATGCTAATGTTGCTCCAGATAAAAGCAGCAGCAGTATAAACTTCAGCATGCCCCTGATAAAATCTGCAAATCTAAAATAAAAGCACAGATCAGAGCAGTACCAATGCTGATTTTATCTTATTTAAATGTGATGCTTGACAATTAATTCAGTGTATTCTCATTAAACATTTTGGAGACTACAAAAACAATTCAAAAAGCATTTCTCTTCTTCAGAAAAAAGGCACTTCTATAGCATGGGGATATTTCTAGCTGTGAAGCTGAAGAGCCATGGATTTTTTAGCTGTCATAAAATAACAACAAAACCAGAACAATTCTCAAGGTATCAACTGAAAACACTTGATATACAGGAAGGGTTGTTCTGTTGGGTTTTTTCCTTCTGCATTTGTTGGACACATCATCACACCACTACTTACTTTGCTGTTTTGTCAGCGTTTGCCAGTCTCCCTTGGCAGACAGGCCGCTCAACTAGCATACGAGGAGGCTGCTGCATTTCATTCAAGACAGAGTTAAGTGTGAAGATTCATTCCTGTGGGAAATGACAAAACTCCAAATACCAGAATCCCTAGATCGAAGTTGACAAGGAACAGCTTCTGAACCCTCGGATGCATTGGCAACGAAGCTCTCGGTGGCATGGGCAAAGCAGGTACTCCTTACACAGGTGGTCACTTTGCCAGGGGCTGTTTTGGGCTGAAACGTTCCAGAAATCAAACGCTTGGTGCTGCTCCTCTCCTGTATGTGCCTCACTGACAGTCTGGGGGAGGACAGTCCCACAAGTCCTTGAGATATCTGGCTCTTACGCAGGGGGAAATAGAATCTTTGTATCACCTGATGGTACAACTGTTTTCTTCATATTTTTTTTTTCCTTTTTCTTTCAAGGAGCCTGAATGCATTTGAGCAGTGCTCACATGGCATAATTATGAGTGCAACTGCTCTTTTCAAAAGGGATTTCAACACTGCTACTAAAAAAGATACATTAGAAAAGGCAATGTCATTTATCCACTAGTAATTTTCTATAATCTCCTGCTTAAGAGATGTGAGTTTGAGCCGGACAGGATAGTTAGGTATGTCTAAAGAATGTTTTCTGCCCTCGTAGCCTCCTACCTCAATTAGGCTAACAGCAGCACAATCCAGCTTGGTTGGTCCATGATTAAATTTGTCTGTCAGTTGTCTTCTCTGCCTTGACAAAGATCATTGTACAGGCAGATACCTTACAGCTTACTTGACAAAACAGACAAGGCTATCAACATACTGAGAACTAGGAACCTCAGCTCCACATATACCCTAAGAGATGTATGAGTAATGCAATAAAAAAACCCCAAAACTCCCAACAAAAACCAACCCAAAAAAAAAAAAATCCCACTTCCTTCCTCTTATTTTGATTCTCCCTGTGCTTCAAGTCCACACTGAATTTAGCAGTGAGTAATTAAATACACAGCAGCAGCAGATCAATGCTGCATATAATCTTAAAAGTTTATGACTGCAGCGTTCAAGTGGCTTATGCATTAATCTCCAATAGTCAGAGGTTAGCGGCTACTGTTGTTTTTGTCTGACAATCCACAGCCAGCAATCTGAATCACTGTTGTTTGCCAGTTTCTTTAATTATTCTTTGGGATCACTGGGATCAAAATCAACAAGTTTAAAAGCTTCTCAGAAGCATCTCAAAGTGCAAACTTTCAGCTTCTTCTACTGAGACTCCTTGCTTTGCCTGCTGACAGACAACATTACTATTCCCTCACCTTGTAGGCAAGGGCAGTTACATATATCCCATCTAATGAAACATAGCATGAGAAATACTGGCCTTCTGGGAGGGACATTCACAGACAACAGGTCCAGAAGGGATCTTTAGGAGGTCCTCCATCTCTGTCCCATCACCAGGGATATGTGGAGATGGAAGGATGATGCACAACTAAACTATCTTGAACGGTTAAATGGAGCAAATGTTTACCTCTACCGAGTAGCTGCAACTCTTTTTAAAGATCCTGGAGTTTGGGTATCAGCGTGCTCCAAGGAGCTCTCAGATATCACATGACACCAGAAGGGTCAAATACAAATTTATGCAGCTACTGAATCCAGCCAGCAATAGAAATAATGGGAAGAAAAATGATATAGCAAGCTAGCCTGAACTTGGTAAATCAAGGATCATCTTCATGTCTCGTTACAAAAGAATAAGGGCAACTTTAAATCTTCAGAATATTTGTTTCAATCAAGAAATGAGAGGAATTATTTTTATCCTCTGATCGCAGTATTTGCTTTCCAAACTTTCTGTTCTGTTTAAATCCTTCTTCATCACCTGGCATGTAACAGGATGTCGGCAGCTGCTAATAAAGTAGGCACACCAGGAGAGGAGGTGCATACTTACCCAGACACAGATCTCTGGCCCTACAGCTGGTCACAGTCTCCTGCAACCCAGTAAACCCAGCCCCAGGCTGGATCCTACAGTTAAAATTGCAAACCTGAGTTGCTGACAACACTCTCTGTTGCAAATGAGATTATGACCACACCATAAAGTTTCAGCATTTTGACTATACCGCAAGAAGTGGGAAGAAAAACTGAGCCACGAAGGACAAAACCCCAGAAGCAAATGTGGCAAGAAATAAAAAAAAAGGGGAAAAAAAAGGGAGAAAAGGGAATAAATTTACATTTCCGTGCAATTACATGAATGTTGCTCTTTGGCACTGCTTTACTCCAAACCAGTACCCTTTGAAGCTGTCAGCAAAGGGTATTGCACCTACCAGCTGCCCAAAACATCCCAGGGTTTTCAATTAGAAAAATGCCTCCACAAATCGGCTAAACATATCTAAGTTCATGGCTATCAGGACAGCAGTGGGTGGAGAGCAGGAGGATTTATGTATTGCGCTGAGGAAAACTTGCACCATTTTGAGAACGAGATAGATAAACAAATTTCCAAACTGGGTATTACGTTAAAAACAGATGATTTAACACCTACTATGATGTGCAGGACCAAATGCTTCAGGGCAAGGCTCAGCTTGTTACAGTTCTACATGGTAGAATCTGCATTGACAAAAATGGAAGGATCAAATTCCTAAACTGCACCAATTCTGGTTTGATAAATTAGCTGGGGGGGGAAAAAAAAGGAGGAGCCTCCTCCCCTCAAAAAACAACAGCTTCTTGAGAGATGGTTAAGGGAGAGAGCTGCTTGCTTGGCAAATCACAGTTCTGACACTGAAATACATCAACTTGTCAGCCCTGACAAGAATCATTACTTAATTTTCCTAATTACAACTTTCAGCAGATTACAGTCAGACTCGTCATTGATTCAACCCTACACAGATAAATGCTGAATAGGCCTAGGAGGGAAGAGTCATCCATCAACAGTGACAAATCACCTCCTCCCTCCCTTTCTGTATGCAAACCCTCCCATTTGAACCGTGTATCGCCCAAGTTAGAAAGACATATTTGGAGACAGACTGTTGGTATTTTTTTTTTAATTCACTCAAAAGAAAAGCTCTGAATGCTACAAAATACTGGTATTCAACACAGATGAAAATACATTTTGAAGCAGTTAAAGAAACTGTCAGCATTTCCTGAAACTCAACCCAGGCAATATATTAAATAAATTAATCTACCATAAAGATTGAGATTCGCATATTGGCATTGAGTCAGCAGATTCTCTCCTACCAAAGTGAGATGCTAAGAGTGCCTCTCTACTACTGACATGTTGCAAATATACCAGAGATTAACTCGTGATGAAAAAGACTGAACTGTCACGCTACCTGCTTCAGCATATAACCTGCTACAGCACCTGTATCATTTACAGCAGTTGGTTTAAAAAAATCTACTCTTCCTAGAGAAAAAAAAAAGTCGTTCCTGAGCTCAACTAATCAAAAGCAACTCTTTTAAGAGGAAATCAGGGTGTGAACTTTGTTTCAACAGATTTAAGTCCTTTGGCCTGCATCTGGAGTGGACACAAGGGAGGCGCTCGTTTTTCTTCCCTAGGTCAGGAGTTTTTTCTTCTCCCTCTGTCGCAGTTGCTAGGCAGCCTCAAAATGTCAGGACGAGAAACCTCACACTTCTTTATGCTTTGTATATTCTGATGATGCACAGCAAGTGAAAGAAGAGAGCTTCAATTTCTGTCCTGAAAGGACAGCAATTGGGCACAATCCCACAATGACTGCAATGATGACAGACCCCTGCACTTGTGCTAAACTCACTGCAGAACTGGAGTCCAAAGACTGGGCATACAGAAGTCAGGACAATGCTTAGGTATCCCCATGCAAGGGAAACGTGTGATTGGTTTTAATGAGTTTTATAAAGTCACTGCTTAAGTGCCTCCTGTAAGACTTTTCTCCCTCCCTCCCTCCCTTTTTTACAAGGGTTATTGACGAAGAAAAAGCAGCAGCTTTTTGGAAGCAAATTCAATTTTTTGCTCTTCCACTCCCCATGCTATTGGCATTTGTGATAGCTAGAGAGAGCTGTGCTTGGATATATAAAAAAAGTAGTTATACTGTAGCCCACAGCAGTACAGAAAAAAAACCAGTTAGGCCACATAGGAGTACAACAACCTGGCCAAAATAGTCTCAGACTAATATCTCTATGGAGGAATGTAACGCTATTGTGGGTAGGCTGCCTGTGCTACGTTTCCAGGATCGCTTCAGGAATCAATATGCCCAAAAGCGTTGATGGAAGGGGATAGACACTGGTTTCTTCAGTGCTTCCAAATATGCTACAATGGGTTCTGCCTCATACCAGGCACTTGAATTCACAAGAACTGTGTTTAAAAGGAGCACAGAGGAAGCACTTGTCAGGAGTAACAGTATGACTTATCAAACTAAGGTATATGCATGTAGAGTACTCAACTCCCAGCACCCACTAATGTGCAATATACAAATTATTGCTCTACGAGAAATGCATCATAACCACAGAACGCATTTTCCATTTCAAGTTTCTAGAAGATGAGAGAAAACTATTTATGTTATTAAGAAGATAAGCTAAATGACAATCACAGTTGAAGAAATTCAAAAGAACCTATAATTATTCCTACCTTGCCATTGCTATGCCAACAACACAACCTCCAACTATAGACCAAAATCCAATCCAGCCTGCATCTACCTGACAAAGCAAAACAGAGAGAAATGTGTTAAAGAAAATAAGATGATGTTACTTTCAAAACTAACAGTGTGCTAGCAAGCTGCTAGCAAGAGCCCTCAACAACAATCTGAAGCACAAGACTTTTTCCAGGATATTCAAAAGGAAATAAACTCACTAAAAGAAAGTATGATTAAGTAGCTTATGCACTAAACGTGACCTCTTTTTATAAAATCTGAGTAACGTCCTCTGGATTTTAAGTCATTCTATTAAAAGCTTAGAAATCCTCTTCTTCCCACTTTATCTTCTCTACTTGGTAAATTTTTTTTTTAACTAATGGTGCAGCAGCCAACAATACTCCTGTTTACTTATCTGCCTCTTCCTTCTTGTCAAAAAGCGTGTATGGTTGTGAAAATACCCACTGCTGCTGGAGAGCCAGCATGGAGAATAGTGACTGGTTGGGATGCCAATGCTACAGTTTATTTTGTTTAAAATTTCATGAGAAAAGTGGTCCATAACTATTAATAGCAGCTTAAACATAAAAACTTGACAAAATTGTATGATAGTACAAAATAAAAACATGCCACTTAGAAAACAGCTGCCAATCATCAATCCGGAGATACTTACTTGGCTTACGTGAACTGGCGTTAATATCAAATCCAGAACACCAGACCAGCCAGAGAAAACACCCAGTGGTATAGCATAGGCTAAAGCAATCATCAAGAATCGGAAATTGCTGTGAAGACAAAAACCATATGCAGTTAACTGCAGCTTATATTAGAAATTGCTGCTAAAGTCAATGACACCCTAGAACCTGTATTCTGCCCATCAAGAAAAACAGCAGAAGTCTGAAGTCTGAGCCAGGAAAAACAAGAAAGGTATCCAGCCACATCACTGAAACTCCAGTGGCTGAGATGTGACTGCCTTAGCACTGTGATAACAAAAAAAGCCAGTCTCTCCACACAGTTCAAAGATTTTTCTAACATGCTGGGCTCATTTATCTCTCATTTCCACAAGCAATTCTTCCATGCATTTGGCTGGGCACCCTACTTAGCCTAAGTGTATGTCAGGAACAATAAGCACTAATTTAAATGACAAAAAGCATATTTCGAGAATAAAATCAGAGATTCATACTTCTCAAAGTGTCTTTTTTTAAAAAAAACACACACCAAAAACAAAACCAAAAAACCCAAATCTCATTTTACTTCTCTTTATTTTGATGAAAGGTAGGGAGAGCTCTGGGAACGAGATGGGTACAGTTGCAAGAGTGGAAAATTCTGACAGTTTGAATTGTCAAAAACCAGACACACGCATAACATTCTTCTCTAAACAGTCAATGTCTTGTTTTTTCCTCCCAAATAAAATTATTCAACCTTTAGTATTCAGTGAAGATGAAGCAGTCAAAGCTGTGTCATCATCTTCATCATACGTGGCTAAACAGGAGTTGGCAGACAAATACCACCACCAATTTCCCCCACCCACCCACTGCAACTGAAAGCAAATGTGAAATCTTTTCTAGGAGACATCCAAATTTTCCTCAGAAATGTTTCAATTCGGGAATAAAAACAGAAAATATACTTTGGAGTCTGCAACAGTTATACTTTAAAGTGAAGAGCTTTTACAGTGATTCCAAGGTTAGCTGATGGGATATCTGTAACCACAAAACGTGGCTACCCCATTCCCAAACCATTTATACAAAATTGATCCTGATCAGTACCGGCTCCTTGGCACGCAGCTGCAATTTGATAGTACACAGTTATGAAAGCCAAGAGGGAGAGAAAGAGCTTCAAATACTCTCCAAAACACTGAGAGGTTCGCAGCTTACACTGTTTTACTCCCCTAGAAGATCCATTCACAGCACAGCAGCCAGTGTTTTTTTGCACTGTTCTCGTTCACACCTCCTCTTCTTGAATAACACATTTCTATCACATGAACATACTCTCCTCTTTCAATACCATTCATGTCAGATTTATTTTTTTAATGCAAAGAAAAACAACTCCCAAACTTTCAGCTCTTCTACACACCACTTATATTTCTCTGAATGCTAAAGGAGTCATTCTGGCAACTTTTTTTCTCTCAAGAATACTGTACTCTTATCCTAGTCTCTCTTGTAGCATCTTGGCATCTCTTAAGGCAGGTTTTCTGGTGCTATTTAATACTTATTTAATACTATCCATGTAAAAGCAGCATCTGTAGAACAAAACAAAAGGGAACACTTTGCATGGACATTATACAGCCATGCCACAGACTGCAAAGAGGCAACAAATCCGAATGCACTCTTCCAAAATAACATTTGTAAATATCCAAAATCTTAGGCTACCTGAACCTGGCTTTCATTAAAGAGCTACTTTTGATAGAGTGAACACTTTGTAACTTGCTTGACGGAGATCTCCTGTGGCATATTTGTCTTCTGTCACTAGAACAGAGAGACAGACTGTTAGGTGAGACAGCCATGTCCAGCTCTGGTACCAATCCTAGAACATCAGCTCTTCAACACGACATTCTCCAGCGGCGGAAGCTACCACGCTGCCTAGTCTCCAGAATAAGGAAGGTAACCAGGAGAGAGGGTGGGTGGCAGTGACAAAGTAGCACCGAATGCCAGACACCATCCTGTCCCCTTGTCTAGCAACAGCTAGCACTGGCTACATTAAGTGCTACAGCTATTTGAAACATATATCTTAAGTGGCAGCTCTGCTTGTCATGGCTCAAATCACTTGTGTTTGTTTTCGCAATTTTGCAATTGCTCCACTGAAAATAGAAAAATGTGCTGTCTGCCACACCATCAGTTGGTGAACCCGCGCCGTTTTCCATCGTATCAGCCCTTCTGACAGGATATCAGCATTAGCCTCTCCGTTAAGCCATTCTGCTGGAATACAAATTGGCTTTTTCTTCTGTGTTTTCAGAAACCTACTTAACGCCACTAGAATCTGTAAGACAGGCTGGTTCAGAGGGGAGCCCCATCAAAGTCAGGCACCATTTTCAGAATAATTTTGACAGTACCTATTAACATCAGGCACACACTGAGCAGCTTCCATCACTGCATGGTGATGTCATATGAAAGTTTCACTAAAGAAATACCGATGTACAAAAGCTCTGTTATAGAATTTCAAAATTCTTTACACAGTCCCTTGAAAACACAAAAGGCACATGACTGGCTAAAAGCATCTGATTACTTCAAAGCAAAAATCATGACGTTTTCTTAATGCAGATTTTAAGAATTATCAACTACGTACTCGTATTAGAATTATTTCCATGGAAATTCACGTAATACACTTAAATACGAGGGAAAAAAACCCCAAACAAGTCATATTTGCTTCACCCAACAAATTGAGCAAGAGCACTGTACTTCTAATGGAAACTCAAACTGCACTTATCATGGTGTGCAATAGACTGTTAAAAGATTTGGGCTTAGCTCCCAAACTGTGACTAATCTGTCGTCTCCCACTGCAGGCTGAGAGAGTTGGTATCGGGAGATAACCAGCGATCAGCTAATTGCTACAATCTGTCAGAAGCAGGAATCCTCCACATCAGGAGGAAGAAACAAATTCCTAAGCAATTCTCAAAAAAAGGATTTCCAGGGGATGGCTGACCCTAAGAAGGTATGTATAACGTAACTCTGCAAGAAGCAGCTCATGGAGACGATTGCTGAAGGACTTGAAGGCATGAAGGAGTGTAGGAGTTCCAAGAATGTGAGAGATCCCTTTGGCATCCAAGGAAAAAAGGTCAATGACTTCAATTGTAAAGTTATGCTACGCAGCTTTATTTTGAAGTAATAAAACTGCAGCCTAGGGGAGAGAAGAGGGAAATGAAGATCTCAATTCTCATGAGTGGTTTTGGTGCATAGCTGGGTCAGCCCCTCAGCTCACGCACATCCTGAACGCCTTGCACAGTTTGTATACCAGAGGGTAAGTTTGAAATAAGGGGAAATCATGATTTCCTGGTACTCGTCAGCTGATTACCTTCAGTCTACACTGTTAAGTCAAAAGAAAGGCTCTCTGTGCCAAGAATTATGCAGCCCTAGATTAGGCAGGCAACAGAGCTCAGAAGCCTAACAAACCAGTTGATGGATTTCTTTTGAAGCACAGCAGATACCATTTTCTTTTATAAAAAAACCCTTTCTTGATGGATTGCTGCTGAAAGGCTCCCCCAGATACGTGGGGTTAATGATAAACTGTTGATTGTTTCATGTACAGAGGAATGAAGAAGTACCTTTGATAAGGGGTAGCATGGAAGAATGCATAAAGACCAAAGGGAAGGGAGATAATAATGATCTACGTGAACACATTTAAAAAAACCCCTCTTGGTTCCTGGAGACACTAGAAACTATGGTCATTATTTAAGTGTCCAGTTTGTTTTCTTAAGATTCATTGATTGTGAACAGTAAGCCAGCTTTGCTGTTTACTTCCTGACCTTACTAGTGTCTCAGGTCCACTGTTTACAACACTTTGAACAAGGAACCTAATGGTAATAAAGCTCCCAAATGGAGTACTGTCAATGGAAATTTTATATTTCACCTGCAGAGTCAATTGCTGTTTGGATTTCTGTTCAACAGCAACATTTTTACAACACAGCCCTCAGGCGGGGTCTCACCACACACTAGCTTGGGTGAGTAACAGCATTGTTGTGTGTGCTAAGTGTCCTTGCGGGAATTGCTATTTTTTAATATCTTGAGTAGGTCACTTTGCAGACTAACCAGCCAGCTGTACTCACACCTTCTTCTAACTGCCAGCCTGCTCCAGGACAAACATACAGAATTAAGCATCTTGTCAACTATTTATTCCCCCAAACTGAAACAAAGAGCCTCCATGAAAAATAGAAAAAAAACCCCAAGGACAAGGGATGAGTTGGTTTTGCTGGTCTTACATATGCTTTTAGAAAGCACAGCCTGCGATAGGTCTGCAATAACTAAATGACTAAAGATCCACAATTATAGAGTTTCAAGTAGCCTTTTTTAGGTAGATTCTTCTCCTACCACTACATCGCCTAAGAACCAGTTATAGCAAGAGTCTGAAGCCTCTCAGTGAAGTCAGCCTTGTTCTGCACCAGAGGAGTGGTTCTTCTTTGCCCCAGGATGTTCATCTGTGTAGTGTCACGTACAAGGCAAAGGCCTTCACAATTATTCATCGTTAACTATTACAGTTGCTTTAGCTATTCCTCTTGAGATGAGACACTCATCACACAAGTCATTGTACAACCACTGGTGGGGGCAGCACTGTGTTTTACCAAAACAGCCCAAGTGGAAGAAGTTGCAAAGCTGGAGGCATCACTGTCTTTACAAACTTCTTTTAAAAAAACCCCAACCAACCTCAAATTTAAAGAAAACTAACTCATCTTTGAACCTGTCTAGAAAAATTTATCCTATTCCCATATTCCAACTTCATATTTTAGCATACAATTAACGATATTTAATAGATCATATAATGGTTTCAGATAGTTCACTCATTACTTTCATGGTTGAACAAAAGCAGATGAATAATCCTTTGCATGACAAGCAAACCCCAAATTCATTCCCATATAGTAAGCATGGAAGAAAGTGGCTTATTAGCTAGTTATGCCCAGCATTGTTAATTGTTATCTCACATCTAGCAGTACTGTTAACAATCTTGTATAACCTGGTGTAACCAAATTATTGCATACGAAAAGTTGTGCTTACAAGATGGCTAAAGCAGTGTTGGTACTGAAGGACTCCGGAATGAAGGCTCAAGATATATCCAGTGATTTAAAATTTAATGTTTGCTTTTTAGCAGTTAGCATCCTTTCATGTCTCAACATTAATATTTAATTTTATTTTGTTTAAAAACACTACAAGCTAACTTGTTTGCTCAATGAGAAGATTAAAGCACACTTGTTTATTTATTCAGGTGCTGACCTGCTTTGAAGTGGAAACTCAACCAGGACCTACCTTAAGAGTCTGCAAAAGCTTCTCCTATAGCTGAGCCGTTGACTCGCTGCAGCCACACTGGGAGGGAACGGAGGGCGCGAGGGGAAGTAGGCCAATGCTGCGGAAAATATCAGGGAAACCATTCCAAATTCTAAACAAGAGGGCAGAGAAAAACAAAAGCAAGAACAGATGTTGGCATCGAAAGGCTTATTTCGGTACAGCATTGTTATCAGCCAGCCTCCAATACATAAATCTCACCACAAGTGCTTTACTGCTCCCGACAACAGAACTCCATAACTTGAAGAATTTCTTTTTCTCTCCTCAAGTGAGATTTCAAATTGAGATGGAGAATCAATGAGATGGGAGAAATATCAGCAGTCCATCCCAGCGACAGGAGCTGCAAAGAACCAGGCTCACAACTCACTGAAGCAAAAGGAAAGCTTTTGCTTTTTCTCTTTAGAGAAAACTGCATTATGAAGATTTGGCCACGTTACCTCGCGACGGAAGTAACGCAGTGCAGGTACCAGCATGCTGGAGACTTTAAACAGATGGCACTGGGGAAGCCCCAGGGCACAGAATGACAATTAGCGCACAGGATGATGAAGGCAAATTAAAGGTCAAGCAAGGCAACATCTCAGACACAGGCAGGATTACAAGGCAACAATATGAAAAGCATAGGAGCAACCACAGCTCAGGAATAGAAAGAACATGGGTAATAGGGAGAAAAATTAAAGAATACAGCTGTTTGCACTTGCTCCCATTGTTGTTGTTCAGCAGCAGGTATTTTAGATCTTTGAAAAACTTCATAGCAGAAATTTGGACCCAAACTTGCAAAGAGAGGATCGCTTCACAGAAAATACTCAGCAAGCCGTGTGATTGGACATGCTGAGGAAAAACAACTCTACCCACAGTCAGTCTAATTAATTTGTTTTACAGGCCTTTTACAATGTATATCATGTTCTCCACAGTCCCCAATCCCAGTACTTCTCCTATCCTCTTTGAAAACAAGATTCCTTGCTGCTGGAGAGAAAAAATGTATAGCTTAAGTATGTTATCTTAAAAGAACCTGTGATCTTATAACAAAGAAGTGTTCACTGACACCACAAATAAATTCTAGCAAAGCTGGATTCTCAATTACGTTCGTTTTCTTTTTTCTTCTCTTTTTTAATAAATCAATATGAACATGGCACTTTGCCAGCTCTTCTGCTACACCAAGAGAAAATAAATTCAGGAAACTAAAAAGTAAATAACACTCAGAGTCTAAATGGATCAGCTGGAGACAGGGAATGGAAATGAACACTTCTATTGGGTATATGGGAAAAAGTCTACACCAAATTTCTTTGGAAGGCATACCGAGAATGTGGCACTGCCATTCTTCATGATCAAATACTACAGAATTCATCTGGAATTATGCCATGTCACTTCTCCTGTCGTGGTCTAACTGTAGGTTTTGAGGGTCAAGGGCACTTTAACCAGACCTTCTCACTACATCTCCTCTGTTCTTCAGAAAAAAGAATAATTTCTATCTTTGTGTAGATCGTTTTTGAGACCATGAGCAGTGCATAAAGAACTGGCCATAATGGATCAGCCAGACCTAAGAAAGGGATGAAATGCTTTGTCACTACAGGATTATACTGGACAGGGAAGCAAGGCTTGCCAAAAGCTGTTTATAGCCTTCTCCTGCATCTAGGTCTACAAATAGGTTTATAGTGTACATGTGTCCATGCATATGCACACTTTAATCACATATTAAATGATTTCAAAGTGCAGACAGGTATATCCAACAAGAACGTAACCACAAAAAAAACCCCATAAACTTTGTCCAAGGCGCTTAATTTCATTATACTGCAATGCTGAAAGGGGAAAGGTTAGGTCTTTTTCTAAAGAACATAAAACATATTGATAATTTTTTTAAGTCACAGTCATATTTTACAGCAGGTGCCCATCTGGGGCCTCTTCTGCAGGTTGCTTCAAGATTCCTGCCAGTACAGCTCCTGCAGTAGGAGCTGTATAGTAACACTTCATTTTTTTTTTTAATTATTAAATTCAGCATGCAGTCCTTGTAGTACGTTCTTGCAACTCTTTAATGTTTTCCAGTGTTATACTTCTCAGGCTAACAAATTTGCCTTGCAAGCACTGCCCTCACGCAGAAAAGAGCAGAATTCACTTTGGAAACTAAAGCAGCTCCCTCTGTTGAAGAATAAAAGTCTTTAGTGCCATCTTAGCTTTGTGTATCACACGTGTATCTCTATCAAAGATCCAAGTACTGCCAAACACATCCATTTTTCTACACGTTGCATTCCTTCCTCATTAGGAAGCCTACAGCTTTATATCCATCATCATTTATTCTACCACACTAGATAGAGAAAAATACATTCCCTGGACAAGTTTTAGATTGCGAACAGGGAGTAAAACCAAGCAAAAGAGGAAAAGTAAGAAACAAGTCAATATTGAGAACCAGGTTGCTATAGTCATAAAAGAGGAGCTCTTCCACAGGAGCTATTAGCTTTTTAACAATGCAATCGATGCAGCAAAGCCCTTTGAATTAGGCAAGTCAGCATAAATCAGTGTGCAGAAAGACATGTGTTTCTCGTGTTGAGGAGTGAATCTGGAATGCTTCACAAACGCCGGACACCGTGCCACAGTGACCTGTGACTGTCAAAGTGGAGAGATGCCTGCATCTTGGCCTAGGAAGTCAACACCTCGCTGCCTGTGTAAGCCCCAAACAGAAAAAAAGAGGTTTACAGAGACAAAAGCCTCCTTGATCCAAGGTTTCCTTCAGATAGGCTACTCATACCACAAAACCTTCTCAAACCCAGAAATCCTCCCCTCCTCCTCTTGTCCTGAAATGTAAAGGCGGAATGAAGGCACTTTACACACATACATTTTGGGTGCGTTTTTTTTTTCAAAAATAAATAATGATTTTACATTGATATTTAGGAAAGAACATAGCTAAAAGCTCTGGCTGCAATCCAGAATAATTCAAGCTTCCTTATGCAACTCAGGTAATATAGTTCAATCCTGATTTGCTACGTCTGTACTATTTCAGCTGTGAACCAGAATGCGCAGCGACACAGAAAGAGGCTGCAGTAATTTCAGCTGCGCTCTTAGTCCACGTTTGAGATAAAGAGCAGCAACTTATTAAAACACAGAAGAGACTGGAGTTAACAGAGCAGTTTCAGAATGGGTTTATAAGCAATTGCTTCGTAATCATCTCTGAGGTTAAGTCCTTGGAAAATTAGTGCACTCTTGGCATGCTACTGATCCCAAGCTAACAATTCACATCATTACTGTCTTCTAGAAGTCATCACCTAACTTTTGGAGGCTGCTTATCTAATGCTACCTCACATAAAAACAAGCTCCATCACAAGCACAACTCCATTAGGAATGCAATGCAAAGCACTTATTCTGTGAAATCAGCTTTTAGAGGGAGAAGTCCTACCAAGCCTCAGCACACTTGCTACACAAGCGGCGAAGTGGAACATTTGGGTCCAGCTCCTTGTTCTGCCTATGTTCTGTAACATAACTAGTAACCCCTGAAGTCAGTTTGAGCTTTGTTCTCTGCCCAGCTGATTAAGGGGCCAAATAGTACCCTACCACACCTACTATGTATTTTTCCAGCCTACAGGTGGCCACAAGGTCACCCTCCTTCCACCTCTGGAGTCTACCCGGTCTAACAGAACACAGGGCAGGCAGACAGCAGGGACCTCGCTCCTTCAGCTCTCCAGGGAAATAAGGCTGAGGTAAGACAGGACAAATCCCACTAGGGATCCAAAGCAACCTCCTCTTTGACAGCTCCTACCCATTTTAAACCAGCTGGACGTTTTGGCACCATCACTGCGAGGCCAGCAAAGTTTACGAACCCCTCGGAACAGCTAAAGGGGTTGTAGCTTCTGAAAACGACACAACCACAAGCACAGCTACACAAAGAAGCCACCTCCGTTCAAAGCATTTTCAAATACAAAAGATGCCCCACAGAACACATTTCGCCTATGAAGGTGAAGAGCTGCTTTAGGATAATCTTATGCTGGGTCCAACAATCCCCAACAGGTCTATGGGATGTTCCCAAACCCTTGCCATTTGAGAAAGGCAGTAAGAGCCGTGCTGAGACATGGGGCGGGCAAGACACACCTCTGAAGCTTGGTGGCAAGCAAGATCCATCCCAGTTATTGCAGAAAATCCTCAGGAAAACCTCCCAGAAGAGAACAGAAGAGAAAGTAAATCTAATGGACTGCTGAAAGCAACATTTCCAGTGCTACAAACAAGAAAACAGTGGGTTTAGGCACAAATCTGTACTTCCTTTAGGCAGATGAATTCTTCTCTCTCCATGGAAAATCTGCAGAGGGAGAGCTAAAGCACTTCTCTAATCACTAGATTTTTTCCTCCCATTATCTACTGCTCCTCAGGACAAAAGCTGACATGCCTTCATTTTTCCTTCTTTCACACCGGCCTTTTTCATTTGCCATGAGATTTTCGGAGTCTAACATCATGTTTGCCTCTGAAAAAAGGCAAAAAAAAAAAAAAAAAAAAGGCTCCAAATTTCCTTGTTGTTCCAATACATTTGAGTCCAGTAAAAAGGTGGGTTACTCAAAAAAAACTTGCTGAAAAAGTGATCCAACTTCCACTATACCTTCTTTAAAATGTACAGTAAAGTGGCCCACATCCAACAGCAGTATTAAGCTGAGGAATTTCCATAGGAGTAATGTCTAGGAACAAATGATCACAAACACCTAGCTCAATCCCATAAATCTGCATATAAACTTCACAGCTTATACACTTGAAGAACTCTGGAACACTTAGGGCTAACTTTTGGCTGAATTTCAGAGACTGTAATTACAAGGGGGGAAAAACTCAACCAAATGTACGACTGCCACGACATGGTAAAGTCCAGCTGCTCTTAATGTTAAACCAATTTATATCCACTAAGAATCAGATTGCAGACTCTTAAGTCACTTAAGCAACATTTTTTCCTTCAAGTTCACTGCTAATTCTTGTGACACAAAGAGCCACTGCATGAAAATCAGCAAGGACACAGATTCTAAGTTACATAAAACTCACCTGGTATCAATGTTTTTTTCCACCAAACTGTTGTCACTTCACTGAAATTGCTCACCACATGAGAATTACGTTGTTTCAGTTAAAATCCACTGAGTTTTAGTTTCAGTGTTAGATTCTTAAATACTAATAAATCTAATCGCATTTGAAAGGCATATGCAAGCAGTAAATTAAGGCTGATTTAATGCAGGCAAGAACTTAATACTGAAAGGCTGGATTTCCAGCCTTACAGAAACTAAAGGAAAAAATCCAAGCTATCAAGGACATATTTTTTTAATGAAAATTCAAGAAGTAAAAACCAGTTTGGAAGCTCACAGAGAGTATAAGCTCTCCCAGAAGATATTTCTCCTATGGCCAGCCGATACAAACAGTACAAATGCAGCACTTCATCTGGAATCAGTCTGTACAAAAGACCAGTCTGAAATCTTTCCTAAATAAAGGAGAAAAAAACTACCCCTTCTGACAGAACAACATTTTACCACTTCATTATCTTCCATCAGTCAGTAATTTTTCTGTGCAGACCAGCCACTAGAGGGTAGTGGTTCACAAGTACCAAACCCACAAGAAAGTGTGTAATCACAGAATCACAGAATCATAGACTGGCCTAGGCTGGAAGAGACCTTAGAGATCATTTTAATCCAACCTTCCTGTCATGGGCAGGGACACCTCTCAACTAGATCAGGCAACACATGCGGACCGAGCATGGACTGAACCCGCGGCCTTGGTGTTATCAGCACCACACTCTAACCGACTGCGCTAACCGGCCCCCTCAAGTTTTTTTTTTAAAAAATTCATTTTAAAAGCCACACCTGCATACAGCACAGCCTCAATGCGGTCCTTGATGTGGTCAGTGCTGCTCTGTGGAGCCAGCAGGAGGTGAGATGTTCCATTAGGAGATGGCACTACAAGAGGTCCGACGAGGAACGCGCCAGCAGAACCCAGGTAGTTGAGCAGTGACGCGATGGCTGTTGCTGTGGCGCGTTCATCCGGAGAAAACCACGTCGTGGAAAGAAATGGTGCTGCGTTCATCACGGTTGGCCCTGCCAAGCCATTTAACAGCTGCCCTCCGTGAATCAGCCTGCAATAGAGAATAGAGATCACAGTCAGATGGACGACAATTGCTTGCCTTTTTTTTTTTCTGGTTTTGTAAAAGCATGTAAGACATTGAGCGCTGGAGACGGAGTGACTGCACAAAGAAATGAAATTCCTGTGCAAAAAAAGTGTATTCTATAGCCTAAAAGAAGCCATATTAGACTGATTAAAGAATCCAAAGCTACTCTGGTCTCATTACCTCAGATAAATGGAGAAGCAAATGTCCTCTTCAAACTAGGAAAGGAAGAGGGAATAAAAGGGACTTTCTTCACAGAAAAAAAAGCTATCATGACAGGATGTAAAAGTAGAAAAGGTATAGTCGTAGGAGAGCTTTAAATCACAACTGTCTTAAACCTGACCCCTCGCCTGCACAAATCCTGACAAGAAGATTTAAATTAGTTATGGCAGATCCAAAACTGAAACACTTCAGGAAAACACTCTGCATATTTTTTCACTGCATTATTTATTTTTATTTACACACTCAGAGGAGCTCTATGTGCCTACAGCTGAGGAGGCCGGGCTGTTGAGGTTTCCAAGAGAATCGTCTTCTCCAGCAATCTGGCCATTCTCAATATACTGTTGAAACAGCCAGGCAAACCCAGATTTTTCTCATTTTTCACACTCACTGGGATTTAACAGATAAGTCTGGTGACAGAACAGAGATAGTACTTCCAAGCAGCGAAGTCTCTGCGAACTTTGGCTTAATATTAGTACAATGAGCACATACAGAAAGGACTTTTTGAAGGCTCTTCTACAGTGGAAGACAGCCAGAAACCTTCCACCTGGACTTTTCCAAAAACTGATCAGCCGTGAAAGACAAAAGCACTTTTGAATTTATATAAAACCCTCATGTCCAAAAAAACAGCTAGCACATAAAACACAACATTGCAATCCTCCAAAGTAGATCTATCCATTGTGTAATAAAACAGTGGTAGATGACGTTTTCAAACGGGTGATATTTTTCTAAGCATAGCAGGAAGTTGATCGCCGCAAGACTTGAGCTGTCAGACACAAAAAGCTATGGCCTGAAAATGGAGAAATATAAGCTAGCATTTAGGCAATGTTTCAGGCTACAAATGACTGAATAATATACAGCGTAGAAGGAGCTTTTAAAGCACACAAAGGAACAAAATATGCAAAAGAAGTGCTGACAGGCTCCTTATCAAATTAACAAGCTAGATTGCAATAAAAAAGAATAGATTATTCTCAGTGGATTAGAAATTAAATATTTAAACAAAATTTATAAAGCCAGAAAAAAAGAAAAAAGCTATTACATACTATCTGAACGAAACACTTTCCGAGCTGAGACATAAGTAACATCTACTCTTAAATATAAGCAATTGCAGCCTTTTTTGTTTTGTTCTGAAGTTCGCATAGCAAGAATAGATTCCATTAATATTTGTTTGTGATGTGCTTCAGATCACCAGGGGCACGGGCAGGTCTTTTTAATGCTTGTTAAACTGGGCCCCACCAATGAAATAAAATGTAGTATTTTAAAATAAAAAGTACTATCTAAATAGTGCTCTAGTATAGTTTTCTGGTGGACACATTACATGAATCCCTTATGGTCGCTCTTCAACCCAGTGTGCTTGGGTCAAACCAAAGTATTCTCACGCACTTTGGTATTTTCATTCTACTTACCTCATTACATAAATTATTCTCAAACTTATCCTAATCTGCTCCAGGGTATTTACACAGCTATGCTACATCTCCAGAATCGGCTGAGTTTCAATAGCAAGCAAGGAAACTACTGCAACATACGAGGATTTTATTTTAGTATTTCCTCTTCCTTCAAAGTGTATTTGATGCTTCATTTGTGATTTTGTTATTGTATGCTAGAAAAACTGTCACCACAAAATAACCTTTATAGCTCTACGTGCCCTACTAACACTTCTGTTCACTTTCACCACTATGATAATATTACTTTAATTCAAATACACCTGCCCTATAGAAATACTAAGGGCAAATAAAACTCACTAAAATCAGAAGAAAGTACACCACCTGTGGCCAGTTTTTGTCTCTCTGCAGGTCTCTTCTGTCGATGTTCCCGTGGCTGCTCTCTCTCCCGCCTTGCCCTGCCTGGTGTGCTGTCTGTTCCCACAGATTTGCCTTTCCATACGAATTTTTGGCATTTACCAAGCCTGACATTACCATCCAGGGTGGAGCATGTCTTATCTTCACAGTGTTTAATTTTTCAAGTCTAACATATTTGGATTAATAAACACTGTTTTCAGGCTAAATTGCTGCCAACATACAGACTGCTACCTCAAATATCTCTGCATATGGTAACAGCCTAAACCTGACTTCATCTTTCTTTCAATACTGACTTGAATTAAGCGACTTTACTCTGGGAAGAAGATTATTTGCATTGTTCCCCTATATACTTTTAAATCATTTCCCTGAAGAGGCAGGGATGAGAGATTCAAAAAGAAATTCAGGGCATTTAAGAAGCTGCTGCTCCGGGAGACATATGTAGCAGCCACTCCATCTGGCAGAGAAATATGAACACAACAGGATTGGTGGCTTTTTGCTTTTTGTTACAACGTCTCATCCTCACCGCGCTAGATTTTGGTCTCACACTCACAGGAGTCCGCTCTCGTACACCATCGGTACTAAAAATTGCTCCAAGAGACACTTGTTTCTGTTACTCCCCGATTTTCTTCCTGTTTCTGCTACTGCAAAGGTACAAAAGAGCAATTTCACTTTTCCGTGACACTGTTTCAGTTTTGTTCTGGACAACAGGATTTCTCCACCTAAGAGCTAAAAACATAACTTTAGCTTGGGACAAGGTGGAAAAATATTTTTCAGTCTTACTACACCAGCAAAGTAATTTTCAGCTGTTATTTAGCCAAATCTGTTCTGTTGTCAGATGTATTATTTACTCAGTCATCATCTAATTATTTTCATGTCGCAAAAAACTAGAAAGTTATTGAGTTCAAATAATAGAACATAACACAAGAGTAGAAGGCTTTTCAACGATAATCAAGAAAGAGAAAATTGGAAAAAATGACACCAGAAATTCATCTCTGACTTAAGAGAGCAATTGATGACCGTCTAGCTTAGAGCAAAAGCAGGGAAGTAATCATCTACCCAAAATGTCTTGGTTTTGACCATTTTAGAAGCCAAGTAAGGGACTCATTTTGAAATTCCAAGGTTTTTGCTCACCTGACCTCTGCACTAATGAATTTCTGTGCTCTGTCAAAATTGTAACTTGCTGTTGAACATGAGCCCTTTACAAAAATAATAAAATATTTGAGGAATGATAGTAAATGCTAGTATAAGATACCTTGTGCCAGAACATCACAGTAATAGATAAGTTATACATTTACACTATGTATATATCTATATTAAAAAATAATAATACACAGATGTATATATATATACACAGCCCTTTGCACAAAATAAAGATCATATTTGTTCCTAAACCGGCCTCTGAATTGCAAAGAGATAGAACAAAGGATAGTTCAAACACAGCAACAAAAATCAGTGAAAAAAACCCCAACTTACTGTACTATATTGCATCCTCCTTTCTAAATTTTTGTTGCAACGTTATAAATAAATATCATTTTCATCACTTCCCTGAGAGAAGACTTTACATGTAACCTGGTTATACCTGTTTTATTCACTCCCTGCTGTCACTGCTGCAATATCCTGAACAGGCAACAACAAAAAACCCACGTAAGGACACAAATACTGAAATTACAATATCATCAAGCAAACGGGGTATGAAACAAAGTGAGACTATGCAGGAAAAAGGTTTCAGTGATTGATGATAATACCATACTGTTAAGATAGGAAAGAGTTTCTATTCACAGTTGGCTTTATTTATCTTTTTCTCCCTGTATGGGTTGAAACTTTTCATGCATGGCCACAGTCCTGTCAGGTATTGGATTTGTTAAGCTATTTAAAAGCTGTGTGTTATATAAAAACTCTTTCTACCCAAAAAACCCAGACACTCAGTATTTCTAGCACAGTATGTCTCATGCTTGGACGTAAGAGAATTTTAAATGAAGGAAAATCTCGTTAGTTCCTGTACTCAGATAGGGAAACAGTACAGGGAAAATGACTTACTCAAAAAACTACTTTTAGCACAACGGATTTAAACCACAACACTAAAATAAGTCTGCAAAGCTCAGTTCTAAGACATGTTAATTAAGCTTGTTTTGGGAAGGCTAGGACTGGAGAAGCCATACCAGAATTTTAACACCGTCAACAGAGCAGAAGCAGCATTTCCACCTTTTCTTTGCCAGGCCACACAGGGGAAGAGCGAGGCCATCGGTCCCAGTGCATTGCCCCGACTCTCTAAACGTGGATTTTCTTTACCAGCCTCTAATGAACCCCCAATCAACTAGGAAATTATGTTCTTCCAGGTCCAAGGAGGGAGAAGAGCTGATCTCAAGTGGCTTGTGAAGACAAAACCTGGTGCTGGGTTTTTTCCCCTGAAACTTTTACCAGGCCCTCTCCTACCAGCTGCCATGAGAACTGACCACTTGGTCACTATTCAAACTTACGTATAAACGCAATGAAAAAAACCACGTTAATGCAGTTTTGCTGCTGTTTGGCAAAGCATGAGGAATAACAAAGTCACCAAGAGCACTAACCTGCTGCTGCACAAAGCCAGCGCCATAGAGCGCCTCTTAGGCTGGAAAAGTTTAGTAGATTAATTGCTGAAGCAAACAATTAATGTAAAAAGAGATTCTGGATAAAGAAGTTAAACGTTTTACAGAAATGGATGGCTGAGTTTTCTTTCATGTGTCTGACATTTTCACTCATTGGAAGAATTGGGTTGTTCAAATCCTGCTAACCTGGAAAACAAATACGTTTCTATAATCATTAGCTCACTGTGGCAACTACTGGAAGCAAAGGAAAGAGACCTTTCCAGTGGAGGACTTGAGAGCACTTTTCAAGTGCTATTGAATTTAGCCTCACTACTGGCAACAAAGCAAGTAAATACATTCTATTCTAGAGCATCTACATTGATGTATG